ATACAGACACACACGCACACACACACACACAACACATACAACACGCGCCGTTTGCCAACTGACAGAGGAGAATTCATTTTTTAATGCCCGGCGGCGCTGAAAAGTATGCTATGACTATTGCTATGCATTGAGTGTACATATGCATGTGTGTTTGTTTGTGTGTGTAAATTAAATTTGCATATGCATTGCATAGTTCTTCTGAAAACGAAATACAATTAACAAAACACACACATTCGCTGCATACACGCACACTTCTTCTATTTTTTTTTAATACATGCTCTGTTTTAAATTATTTTTACTGGTCAACATCTGAATGTGCCTTTTTAATTCTTTATTCTAAAAAATAAATAAACCAGAAGGAGACGATTGAGTTAGCGAAGCATTTTTCTTGCATTTAATTCTATGACTACATTATTCATCACTTGAGTTAAATTTTATTCACATCCTTAAAAGCCGACCAGTGGAAATATGCACATTTAAGGCCGTCTTTCCTTCTATTCCTTCTGTATAAATACATATTTGTTTTTCTGTAAACCTAATGATTTCCCTGCAAATTACCAGAGATTAACGTCATATCAATGGCATTTCCATTGCAGCTGACAGCAGTCGCAGCTGCTCCCTATCAACAGGCCAAGCTAAAATTTGTGCAAATATATTTGCTACGTGCAACCTATAAGTTATTGTGTCTTGGCAGACCCGGGCAGAATATAAATGGGTCTCAAGTACAATGGGTACAACAAATACACATTTGTCATGTTGCATTGATGTTAAATTGATGCAATTGCAGCCTGGCAACAAAGCTCTTTTATAGTCTAAATTTAGACTGGAGAGGATATAAAGCCAGAGCATGCGAATGCTGCCATATTTTATTTATGATCGCAATTTCGCTATACAAAGTGGCTTTGCCTGTATTTCGGACCTACATTTTTAAGCCGTACAATGGGTTAAACCATGCACCACGGAACTATTTTAAAACTAGAATTCATTGTTATTAAGTGTCTTAGAAAAATAAATAGGTAAATCGTACAAATATCATAGGTTGATTTATTATAAGTTTCATTTGACTGCCTTAAAGTTAATATTTTCTTGTTTTATAATCAACCAATATTTCGATAAAAAAAAATAAAATAAAAAAAGCAAATAAATGATCAAAATAAACAATTAAATATTTGTTCCTTAAATCAGTCAAAATCCGTGTATCAAACCGGAATTGGAATCGATTATTTACCGATTGAATTTCTGAATTGAAATCGGAATCAAAACCTAAACTTAACATTTCTGTTCTTAGTCCCGAAAAAGAACCAAGAACATCGTAACAGAACATCATATGTGAATGTGTCTGTGCTCCAGCTGGTTATATTCAAAATTCGAAGTTTCTTTTCAGACGGACATCTCTAGATCGATTCAACTGTTGATCCTGATCAAGATTAAATATACCTTATTAGTCCGGAGATTTGTCCACGAATCGGAATCGGAACCGAAATTTGTTTCGGTTTGACACCCTGATCAATAATCAATAATCAAATGCATGCGATAGATATTTATAATTGTTTTATAGCCAAAATCCCATGCAGGCTGCGTTTTTTTTTTGGGCTATAACTTTATTTTGGAAAATGTGTTGTGTACATTAATTACAGCAAAGTGGTTAACCTCAGTCTCAATGCTCTGTGCTCGGTACCCTGGGCTCGGCACAATCCAGCCAAAATCACATAATCCCCTGGCCAGCCAACAGGCCCGTTGTGCTAGTCATAGAGATGCACGCGTGTCGATTTCTATCAACATCCGCCCCAGCACGAAAAACAAATGGCAAGAAATAAAAATAAAGTTAATATAACAACTAAATAAAATATAGAGTTATTTTAAGTAGACCTTATGGGTCGTGAAATGCTTCCTTCTGATTGATAATTTTAAACGGATTTATTATTATAATAGATTAATAAAAGCACAACACTTACGCATCTCTAGTTGGAGAGACTCCTGTGTTTATGCCACACACGTCGCCGCACAGTGCAAATGCAATGCAAACTTTTGTGCAAATTAACAAATTTTCAAATCTGCTCATACAACAAAAATAAGTTATATTTGCCTATGTCGGAGTTTGTACTGCTACCTTCATGGAAGTAGGTGGAGTTTTAAGGGGCATGGTCAAAATTTGTGGCCAGGCCACAAAATGATACAAACAATTGTGTTTTTCTTTAGTAAATAACACCAGACGAGTTCGGACTTTGACACTTTTTTGTTGCATACAATTGCGGCATGCAAATTTAATTTGCCAACGCCTGCAGGCAATCCTGGTCGTTATCCTCCTGTCGCATGTCCTGTGTCCAGCTACCCAAAAACTCGTTTGATTAAATTATACATTTTTATATTCTTGGGCTTTTCTTGAATATTAAATCAGTTGCAAATACACAATTTTTAAGTAATTTATCAAATGTGGAATTATTTGATACACACAAAACAAAACAAACAAATCTTCGGGCTTAGCTAAAGTAATTACATTTCAAATGAAAAATATGAGATAGGCCAATAGTCAATTGTTCACAAAGTTGCTGCCTTGGTTCGGCAGCAACGTCTGCCACAAGGATTCATACTTCATTTATATGTTGATGAGAAAATTTGAATGCAATCCTAGCCCAAAGCCTTCTGGGAACAACAATACGCGTTTATTGCGTTCAAAGTTATTCGCCTTAACTTCGATTTTTCCAAGCCAACACTGCTTAAGGAAGCAACAACTGGCTTAAAGCCTTCACAACATACTCCTAACAAGCTTCGTGGGATGCGTGTAAGAGCTTAAGCCAACTAAAAAGCATGCTCTATAATAACAGGGGCTAAAGATTTACTTAATAATACTAACAATTAAAAATAATATGTTTCGTATATTTCTTATAAATTTCTTAGAATACGCAGATCAACAATTATGCTTAATAAGTTATTAAAATAATAAATAATAAAGAAGTTAATTTTAATCATTCAAATGTGTCCTTATTGCTTCTGATTTCATGACAAAGAAGAATCTATAGACATGTCTATCGATCTTGACTACGAATATACAAACCATCAGGGATTATCTAGAACACTTTTCATCGTTATAAACACATATTTGCAGCATAATAACCAATATATATTTATGTTTAAAAAAGCTTTTGGATGCATAAATGAAGAAAGCTTATAAAACAATGCAAAAAATTATATATTCGTTTTCTTAAAGATTTAAATTTAAATAGAATGTATTCCAAAGGCTTTCTTTTGAATAATTTATTATCTTGGAATGTTTTTCTATTAAAAATACATAATTATTTTTCATTCCTGAGTCGCAAACATGATGAAAAAAATTAGAATACCCCACATAAAATGTGCCTTTGCCTGTTGACCCACAGCTCATCTTGCGACATTTATTGTGCACGCTCTGTCTCAAATTAGTGGCCACTAACAAAGCATCAAAATGCAAAACACAGTTTGTCGTACGGACAATTTGCAATGCTTTCATTACCAGCCTCTGGGCAAAAAAAAAAAATGAAAAAAACGATGGCTTTATTGTCTGCCCAAGAGTATGCAATAATTTTGCTTTGCAGCAGCAATAAAGTCCGCCGTTTTGTGCAAAGATTGTGCTTTGCAAGCAAGCCAGTCAAACACAATTGCAATGTACTTGAAATAGATTTTTAATAGTCCAAATGACATATACAAGCAGCTTCATAATAACACAGATACATCAACACACACACACACACACACTCACATTTTGGAGCACACAATCATTTCATTGCGATTGCAGTCGCTCTTATGTCGGCCTTTGTTGACAGTCGAAAACATTTATGCGATTTTGTCGTTAGACGCACAGAGCAAATAAAAATTTACACACACAAACACAAGCAGATAATATGAAATATGTGCATTTATGCATTTCAGTTTCGTAGATTCACTTTGCTACTATAAACCATTTTGACAGAGATGCCCAAAAAAAAAAAGAAAGAAAGGGGGAATGGCACTGAGTAAATTTGCACTTGTCAAAATGAATTAATGTTTAACTGAAAATTGCTTGTTATATTTTTGCAATAGCTTGCCAAGCATATTTAAGCATCTGCATTTGAAATTACCCAAGTAATTTGCTGCCCAATATTTTGTGGCCTTTGAGTCATTTAACGGCAAAAGCAAATAATATCCATGAGACGAGTACTACGAACGTGGGTAATAAAGTGCCAAATAAATGAAATAAAGCTGTTGAACAAGTCTTTCCGGCTTTTATTACAAAACACACTTAAAACACACAAATAAAAACGCAAACAAATAAAACGTAAACTGCCAAACAATTGAAAATTCACACAATGGTACAGCAAGGACTTAAGTGCTTACTAACAGCAGCCCAACGAATTCTCAAGAAAACTGCGATACAATTCAATTTCGATGTTTAAAGTGATGATGTGAAGGAGTATCATCAAGTGGGGGGAGGTGGTGGCAGCTGCCCCAAGGTCTAGCTGTCGAAGCGACAGGATTACAGGCAAATTGCGAACGTCTTTTCATGTCTGGCATACACACACACACACACATACAAACATACGTTTGGCAAACTAATTTTATTGTATACCACATTCATGAGCACTCTGATCGCCTCGATTTTGTGCTCAGGACCTGACCATCCCGCATTCTATGCAAATCGTGTGCAAAAATTTTAACAAGAAAATTGCTTAAGTTTCTCGTCTTAAGTGGCCCCATGAATACCTACCCGTCCAGACGGAAATGCTTAGGCAACTTTAAGCCAAAAACAAGCATAAAGAAAACAAGTCAATTCGCTGAATAACTTGTGCATTTACAGAAATTCCTGCTAGCAGTTAATCGAAAGTGATTAATTTAGATTAATTTTGTTATTGTGATAAGTAGCCCGATTGTGTGACCATAACTTTTTAGGAATTAAACACCACTTCAGCTGCTAAAATTTGTCAGCACATTTACCATTTGACACTTGACAAAAGCAGAGCAGCTTTCATAAAATATCAAGTGCTTAAGTAGTGAAATACGAAGAAAGAAAATAATTTGGAAAAATGCCTTGTCATTTTCGGAGTATGTTTTCCAATCGTTACAATAACAAGCAAGAGCGTTTCTATGAGCGATATGAAGGTAATCAAAGATAGATTTCTTATTGCAAATAATAAATATGTATGCATATTTTAGCAATATGTCGAGCTATACCCAATATGCCACCAATGCAACGACCCCAAGTTAACAAATCTACAATTGCATATAATAAGGGCAGGAGAAAGAGGTATCAGGATGGAATGGCTGAGCCCAGCGCCGATTGGCGAACTGGCGATAATGTGCCAATTGTAGAGCGTCGCAGAATAGAGTTGGCAGGAGACATACAGTTAATGGATATTCTGTACACGCCGAGTAGCGAGTTCAGTCACACTGTCTGGCCAGTTGAGCCGGCAGATGAGGAGGAGCTCAGCACATCCTCGGCCAACAAGCGAGTGCAGCGGAATGGCACCAAGCTGGACAGAATCAAGAAGTTGACCAGGGACATAAGATGCCGCAAAAATAAAAAAGAAATGGAAACCAATAAGCAAGTCGAGCTACAGCAAAACCCAGTTCGCGCTGAGCAAGTACAATCCGATCCGGTCAAGAAAAAAGTGGGAGGTCGTCGCAACAAGCAGCCGGGTGAGCAATTCCAATGCACCGAGTGCATTAAGAAATTCGACAATTCCTGGATGCTGGTCGCTCACATGCGAACCCACACCGGTGAGAAGCCCTTTGTCTGCCCAGAGCAGAGCTGTCAAAAATGTTTTGCAGATCGGTGAGTAAAAATGTGGCATTTAAAAAATATAAACAACTTGATTCCTTTGGCTTTGGTAGCTCCAATATGCGGTCGCATCAGCGCACCATGGGCCATCATGTGTGGAAATTTCAGTGTGGCCAATGTGGCAAGTACTTTGGCCAGGAGTGCTATCTGAAACGCCACTCACTGGAAGCTTGTCGCAAGTACCTGCTGACAGCAAAGCAACGAAAATAATTGACTAACGAATTAATTACAAAGTCACGGTAAAATGTTGCATTAAATAAAATAATTAAAATAATTGTTAATATGTACACACTTGCAAGGAGTATTAGACTAGTGATATTTATATTATTGCCAAATTCCACACAAAATTAAAATCGTATAAAACCTTTTTTTTCGCCCAAAATGCATTTAAATATTAATCAAAGTTTCAGTTTTTATTCTCTTATTATTTATTATTATTTTAGGATGATTTTCTAAAAATTTGTTATCAAAATTTAAGGTACTGCAAAGGGATCAAGCTGCTAAACACAAGTGCAACAATGTGTGGCAGATGTCTGTGCACTTTACTGATTCTCTCCCATCTTCCATTTTGTGAAACATCCGCCTTTTGGCGCCCTATTGACAATAAGTGCAACTGCTTAACATTTCAAAGCGTTGGCTCTGGCTATTGGCCAAGTTGTGAAGTGCGTAGACGCGTATACAGAATGCAATTTCGTTCGTTGCAACTAAATTGACTCATTAGCAGGCAGAGTGCCGTTTCTTTGGCCGGCCGAAAAACAGAAGCTGGCAATGGGCAAAGTTTGAAGTGCGTGATGCGGTGCCATTGGTACTTAATCAAACAAAATGTGATGGCAAAACTTTTGGCCACAACCGCACACACACACACATCTACACATAACCTTCTTTGAATCGATTAATGATCCGAGTACAGAAGGAGTTTTTGCTTTCGTTCGACTTCGATTGTGGTTAACCTCGGCCACAGTGTAAATCCCACAATGGCCAGCGACTTTGACGGCAGCAGCTGGATGGCCAAATGCAACGGTCGAAATGCAAATAGTTCGATGCCTGCTTTGGCACAAGGTCTGTACCAACAACAACAACAACAACAATAACACGAAACAGAACGGGTAATGCGTTAATTTATGGTCGCAAAATAAACAACATCTTTGCTGCAGACAAAACGATTGAACGGCGAGTAGCAGAAGCAGTTGGCGGGGGTAAAAATGATTTAAAGTCTTTGGCCAAGTATGGATCGTATGTCCACTAAAATGCAATTACTTAAGAGCCAATCGAACAATGCGTCCCGAATGCTGCTGAAAGGAGTAGTTTGTTGGCAATTGGCCAAATGTTTTATTAAATATTTGATGCAGCCGAGTCGCGCGACTGGCGTCACATAATAAAATTGTAAAACACAACATTTTATTGAGCGTCGTCGTTAAGTTTTAGCAGCTTCAGCGCTTCCACACCCACATTTGTATTGGAGGACGTTGCAAATGGCCGGCCAAAGTGAATTTTTATGCCACCCGAAACGCAGGCGGCACGTTGCTGCAACAACAACAACAACAACAAAGATGAGCAGACAGCAAAGTGAGACTGCCCCATGTTGCTGCATATCGTCCACTGCCACGCTGTCAACGTACATTACGTATTTTTAAACTAATTTTCCAACTGGGAGCATTTCGCTGGTGCCTTCAAGCCAAGAGAAGCTGGCAAAAAGTCGCCTCGCTAAATTTGGACGGGGCTAGTTTAGCCGTAAATTGTTTTACCGTGTCAATTTGGCGAGTAAGGTGACCAGTTGCACAGCATCTTCCACTTACTTGCTGCATAAAGTTTGACAACTCTATTTAATTACAATTTGCATTCAAGATTACTTAAGAATCCCATATAAAAAGAAGATAATATTTTACTCAACCAAATATTTATTTTAAGCATTGGGTAACTTTCATTAATCAAATAAGTTATCGTAAGACTGCAAAACTGAAAAAATAAAATAAAAATAGAAAGTATTTTTCCTAATATTTTGTTGGTTAAAATGGTTTAAGCTTTCAGCCTGAAGTAATCCAGTTAAAGTTAAAGTTTCGATCCGTATTTTTAACAGTTCCTTATATTCAATAATTTCAGTTTAACCTTAACTTCATTAAGCTTCTGTATACATTTTATTTGAGTTCTACCATAATTCGCTTGACTTGCAGCAAATTGTGTTTTGGCTGTAGCGTATCTATTAGAGTGTCAGCCAAGTTAAATGCCCAATGCCGTTTATTAGCGCACTTCGTCCTGCACCTGATGGCTATCAAAAACCGCCGTGCGATGCTAAATTTGCGGTTCATGAAAAGAAACGTCAGCAAAACAGGAGCACAGCGTATACTGTGAAATTTATGACCCGCCGCTAGCAAAAACAAAAACAAAAAAACAAAAATGAGTAAGAAGAAACCCAAGTCACGTTCACATTTTAAGAAGCATTTAAGGTACTCGTATATCTTGACAAATTTATTTACCAACTTACTCGGTAGTTAAACTGCTTTTACATGGAATTCACTTGATCCACAACCCTATCGTGCACTTCGATGCCATTTCCATCGCAAACCTGCTCAGAGCGTATTTCGCTATCTCCTCCCCAGCTTCCCTTTATATAAGGTCTGATTCTGTCCGACATCTTAAGGCGACAGGCTCTAATGGAGAAGCATCAGCAGCAGCAGAATAGTAATATTATGCAGCTAACAATATAGAGAATTACAATATACACCAATTGAATAAGCCCAAACACATATGTTTCTTGACATCCATTTGGACTTGTGTAGAGTAGATATGAATGAGTATCGCTCAATAAAATATTTAAAACGGGGACCGAATGGATCTATGAAAATCTTCAGATTGTAATACATACATATGAAGTCATAACATTTCAATCCTATAAATATTAATGAGTGTAAGAGTTTTGCCGATTCCGGAATGAGATCTATGCGTCATTCCAGTAAATACAGACAATAAAGAACGAAGAAAGTTTTTTCTTAAAAGTAATTATAAAACATTTCTGATAACTTGAACAGCTTATCAGCAGCGCCTCTTAAAGCTATAGTAATGTGAACGGGGTATAAGAAGTTCACAGTGTTAAAGGTGAAAAACGGGCAAATATATATATATATATATATATATGTAACTATTGTTTCTCGCCTCTCTATGTGTATCATCGACTATAAGAGAGCAATATCTTTAAAGTAGTATTAATCATAAATTTTTGTTCTACATATATGCCAATTTTATATTATTTATATATTTTGTATAGGAGTACCACCCACTAAATTATATAATATACATATATATATATATATATATATATATATAATTATATATCTGCTGGATCAGAGTCAACGAATTCGTCTATTTGGCCTTATTCGAGTGTTTTTTCAACTGGCCTATTTCAAAGACTAGAATTATGGCAGACTTTAAATTTAAAATATGAGTTTTAAAGTTTATTCAACTTAATCGATGACTCCCATTTTTCGAAAATGCTGTCTTGTGAATAAAAATATGTTAATTTTAGCTTATTTTTTTTATTTTTTACTTTATGTGTACAAATTAATTGAAAGTATTTTAAATTCTTCATAATAGTCTTCGGTTTGTCAGTTTTTGTGTATTGTTGTGATGCACATTAAAGTGCGAAATCTAATGCAATTTATACCATTAAAAGTTTGGCAATTAAATTACAATTTAAATAACTTACTCTCGAATTTAAAAATTAAATTATAAATATTTTACTCAACTTTTCAACAAAAACTTTTCCATAAAAAAAACAAAAACACAACTATACGTTTTTTATTAATAGTTTTATTATTTAGAGTATGACTTATATTATTATTTTTAATTATTTTTTGTTTCTTTTTTTTTTTGGTTTTTGACTGGAAAAGTCGTGTTAAATCTAAACATTTAAAACACAATCTTTGAAAAAATCAATTTTATTTCTTCCAAATATTGGTTTCTGTTGTTGTTTTTCCCTTACACAATAAATAACTTATAGGTAAATATGAAATTACATGATTATGATATAGTTTTGTTTGCAGCATTTTAATAACTTTGATTATTTTTGTATTATTTCAGCTCTTCAACTCTTCGCGAGTTGGGCTTGTCAGTTACGCTTCCCTAAGATGTCATTTAGTTGTTCCACAACGACCATTCATTTTGTCGTGTATTTTGTGGTCTCCATTTGCCAACATGTTTATTAAATTCCACATTAGGGCGAGACATAGAACTATCTTGATATCCACTTGTGCACTAGTGTGGAGTAGATCCGTAGAAAGTCCTCATATCGTTATACTAAGTAAATATGATGTCATAAGGTTTCCACCCTATAAATACTTCTCGAGCTTAAGCTGATTACAATGCGGCATTTGAATTCCGATCAAAAGCAATTCCGAAGCAATAGAAAAAGTATATTAGGCACGCCGAAGACTAAATACCCTTTTAGGCCTGATTCAAAATGTCCAGAATCAAAAAATATTATATTTATTTTTATATTTATTTTTTTCTTTTTATAAAAATTTTGCTTATAAGTTTTCTGTTTCCACAATTGTGTAGTTATTTCGTGTGAGAAAAAGTGTCATTTATGTATACTACTATCTAAATACCACAACTTAAAACCTATCTTTCGACCGATTGGTCCTAAATATATATACGTACATATGTTTAGCTTAAGAACTGAGGGAGTTCTCATGATTATAATATACATACTTTATGGGATAGGAGACTTCCTCTTCAATGTGTTACCAACTTCACGAACAAATTATAATACTATCTAGAAGGAGTTAAAACCAAAAAAAGAAATATTCTCTAAGTTATTTAAAAACAAAGAGCAGCTTATCAAAAAAACATTCCCAGTTGATATCAGTAAAGTATTCCCATGCAAATAAAAATTAATAATTCACAAATTTTATTTTATTCATATTTATTCGCTTATCACATTTTTAATAATTATGTACATGAATATTATTAATACATTAATAATTATATATATTAAAGTTCCGTATGATGCTGAAATTTGGTGGCAACTTAAGATCGATAATTTGTAGACAGTTTGAAAAATTATTTCTTTTAAATGAATGTTAATATTTAATATATTAAATACAACTTTTTGTCTAAGGTAACTGTTGTTTATCCATGATAATCAATTATTTATTTATTTGAATTCGCATTAATTTGATCCATTATATCTTATATTTTAGCTTATATTATTTAGAAATGACCTTGTTAGTTTTCTTTAGAGTGTGCAAGTTGAAGATTTCTAATGAAACACATGTCGGTTTTATCAGTATTTAATTTCACAAAGCACTTATAATTGATAAATATATAAGCAGTTTTTTTA